GTGTTACGTCCCCCCCACCATGGTGGAGGCAAAGGTAGGAAGGAGACAGCAACACTGGACCACAATCAATGAAGGAGGAAGACAACAGGCAGGATTTATTGGTTGCTTGCCTCGATAGTCAAACTTAACAAAAGAAAGGAGGTGGGGGATCCAAATCAAAGAAATTAATAAAACAAACAGGTCGAAAGCTTCCAGGGCCTAACTGAAACAAAAAATGCAAAACAAAAGGCCTACCTAGCTACTGCAAAAGGTCAGTGAAAACATACAGGAGTGGCATCAACCGCATAACCTAGTGTGACGAACAGTTTAAAACCTGCTACCAGTGTATAGGGTACCCCAGCTTACCTGTCCAGCCTCCCACCACACACAATACAAAGAAGCCTGTTCATGTGTTTGTCATAACGCAGAAGCCAGCAGCCACCAGCTGGCCAGGGAGCTGCTCATTTGTAGTGATCCTCGGAGAGTGATTGGCCACCTGTGCCCAGACCAGCCAATAGACACATGCCAATCAACTTTGAACTGGCCAATAGGTGGAGGCCTGACACCTGAAAGATAAAAAGTACACCAAAAGCAAAGCCTCATCCTTTCCAGGGATCCCAGAACACTGTGAATCCAGAGCGAGACTTTATCCTGCAGTCAGAGCAAAGCCAAAGATGTTTGCAGTCGCTATCGTCTCTTACATCGTAATTTACAGTTACACAATGAAACTGTGTGATCGTTGTGAGCTTTCAACATGGACACACAACACATAAATATACACAACAGGCAGGTTTATGTGATGTAAGGGGGGCATTATAGGGGAGGAGCTGGTGTTTGTGGTGCTGTACCGGCTTTCAGCTGGAGGGACAAACTGTTTATCACTGGTGGAGCACACAACGCTGCAGCTGGCCTTTTCCTGGCCACGTCCAGCATTTACTGAGCCCAGACCTGAGAGACAAGTTCCCACAATCCCTCTGTGCTACAAAACACTTCCTGTCAGAAGTGGGATTTAAACCCACACCTCCAGGGGAGACTGGAACCTGAACAGAGCAACTTAGACTAAGACTGATCGCAGAGGCCCGGACTTGGTTTTGCTGGTGGCCCACCTGTGGGCTCCTACAGGGAAGAATTCAGCACAACACAAAAGTCGAGAAGATGTTGGTCCCACTACTGTGTTTGTTCTGAGAGCTGGGTCAGAACCTCGTCCCTCTATCCAGTGAGAGCAGTACTCCACGAATACAATGAGGTAAACAACGCTACCACCCAGGCATCACTCTGACCAGTGTTTCTCTGTGAATGTCGCATTCCCGTGGCAGCGTGCTCGCTGCTCACTCAGATTAGAAGTTTTCTTCCCATGCAGAGTGTAGAGCAGACGCTTATGTTTGTCTCACTTTTTACAGAATCAAACTCAAAGTAATGTGAGTACTTCCAAGCTTGTACTCTCTCCATATTATCCATTGTTGATGTACACCCATCTGTTACCACTAAAGTCACACGCACTCATGTCATTGTCATGAGACACTCTCACACATAAAATCATGGTTTAATAACGCAGTAACGCAGCGTGCTTACTGGAAAGTAGCTTTAATTTGATTAATTTTTGTAATAGTAATCCCTTATTTTACTCATTACTTGTAATGCCCCTCCCTCATCCTGGTCATGGTGGACAGATGCCCCTCCCTCATCACAGTCATGGTGGACGGATGCCCCTCCCTCATCCTGGTCATGGTGG